CACTTGTATGACATGATGATCGAAAAGTGTGAAACGAATGATGCCCTTTTTCACAATATACTACCTGTTTGGACGGAATATAAAAATTTTCTTCTGATCATCAGCATCAATGCAACCATTGCTTATGTGCTTGTCTTCTCCTTTTTCTTTTGACAATCTTCCTAGAATCCACTTACACGGCAAGTTGTAAAACTTCTTCTTTCTTTCTTTATTTTTTTTATTAATCTTTTAATATCTAATAATTATATTAAATTTTGATTAATTTAAAATTAAATTACATTGGACTCCATAAAAAAAAAAAATTCTCTCAATACTTATTTTTTCATTCATAAATTTTAAACTCAAAATTTTATTTAAAAAGAATATAATTCTTTTCATTCATTCCAATAAGTCAATTGATTCTTTCTTCATGTTTTTGTTTTTGAAGGCACTACAACCGTTATAACATATATGGTTCATGCATCGATACTAGAATTTGGAATTTGGAATTTGGAATTTGGTGCTGTTATGTAGAATAGAATCTGGCTGAGAAAAGTGACATTACGATTCTTATCTCCACCTCTTTTGGGAACAATACATTGTCAGCAGTAATATGGCACGCAACTATACCCATGCAGCTTCAGTTTGAGAATATTTATCTATACACGATCATAATGTTCCGAACAAATTCGATCCAATTTATACACGATCATAATGTTCCGAACAAATTCGATCCAATTTATACACGATCATAATGTTCCGAACAAATTCGATCCAATTTCTTTCTTAGATCACTAATTTTTGGAGCCTTAATTGACGGCGCATATGGTTGATATTGGGAGACATTGATTAAAACACATCTACTACCATTGGGACAGAGGCAATTAAGCATATGTACTTTTCCATTTACCTTAACTCCAAAATCCACTTCTTTTTTTTTTTGCATTTGACCTTTTGGGTCAACTGGCACCCAGTTAATTTAAGGTGCATTTTTCCTTCCCTCATGAGCGTATTTTGAACCACCCTAATAACTTGTTCAAAAAAAAAAAAAATCCTCCTTTTTCTTATACATTGTCCCTCTCTCCCATTCAGTAATACTACATTACTACTCCCATCAACATTATTCCGATACACTGCATTTGTATTTCTTTCACTTTCAACCCCCATTTACATTTTTAAGATGCATTGTTGGTGACTGTTCCGTTACATACAAAGCTCCCAACAAATGATGGAATAATAATTTATGAGTAGA